GAACGTAATAGAAATGGGGAAAGATTTCCACAACTTTACCTGTTGATATGCATGGGAAGGCTATTGTTCTCCCACTAAAATTCTAAGAATGCCCCAATGAGAATGAAGAGGTCGCAGTAGAGAGAGTACCTTCAACAAATCTAGACTTTTCCTGTAGCAACTTGACAACAAAGAGGAGTCTTCATGCGTTGGCCCCGCAGTATGAAAAATATAACGAGAAGGAAGCTTGAACGCTTTCGTATGCCGAACTTCTCCTAGAAACGAAGTCGAATGATTTTTGCGATACTTGATGCAGAAGCGTGAGAGAGATTGGCAAACATTCTTACCTGTTGGACACGGATATTCTCCCCTTAGAGCTGATGAGAGCTAGTGGATGAAAAAACGAATTTGAAGCTGCGTACCCGCGTCTGATGCGATATCGCGGCAAGCTGCGTACAAGTCTTGGCCCGCAGCTCGGTGTATTGCCCCGTCAACACCGCCTCCTCCTCGCAATCCTCTACAGCGAACAAATCTGTATACATGGGCTCGAATTAAAGAATTACCGGTTAGCGGCATTCACAATTGCATCTACTTTAAGCCTGGTGATGTCCCCAAGATGGAGCCGAATTTTCGCTATTTTCGCTTCCCTGAATAAGAACAAGAGGTTTCATGACGGAAGGTGAAAGTATTTCTCCACTAACATTACTGAGCGCAATGTTGAATAAGGGACCTGGAGCAATTTTTGCGTTCGGAATTTTGAATATTATTTGCACCACCGAAAAAATCTGGGAAAGATGGATTTTCCTCTGCCATTGAATGGCTAACGTGATATTTAGGGCTTTTTCCTTGTGCATATTAATTGTTTCCACTTACGTGAGCGCTAGTCTTTCAAACCACCGATCTTGGTGCTTCCATCGCAGAATTTTGACCTTCATAAAGTTAAAGAAATAACGACAGCGTCCGAAATTATTGCAACTCTTGAAGACAACCGAGGACCTGCAGCATTATTAACTGGGGAGGGAGAGATGCGCATTAGACCAGAACCCCCTAGAAAAATTCACATTGAAGCACGATCCTATTTTGAGGGTGATTCTATCAAGGTTAAGATTCTCTCCAACTCGACAGAAATCACAACACGAGAATTTCACGGCAGTTTTTCGAAAGCAGTTTTTACAGCATCTTCCCGAATGAAGATTTCCTTTAAGGATCCAAAGGGAGAAGCTTACACTCAAATTGGTGGACATTCAACTGTTGACATCACAACCAATAACAGCTCTTTAGTCATACATGAAGTGGACGGTCACATTGAATTTAGAACCATTTAACCTTGATGTTGAGAAACAAACAGCCTCAGTGAGAGCATGCAGCTAGGTTAGGTGGTCCGACAAGGGCGTGGATGCTCATTACATTGAGACACTTGAAGCAACGTCTGCATTCATGGACAAACAGAACATCATCAAGAAAGTTCAGTCAAGTTCCACCACAACTCTTCTGTTCAAAATCAACTTCAATATCTGATGAGAAAACCACGAACTCTGAATTTTCACATCCGTCACCTCGTCATATCCTGCCTACTGTGAAAGAATCTTTAACCCCTGGGATCCCTGATTATGAAAACCAACTTCTTTTCTTCTCAAAGGATTGGAATTCAGTTGAATGGACCATTCGAGGAGGTTGTATGGAATTTCTCCCGCATGAAACAAATGCAAACGAAATTCCTCTTGGAAGTCTTCCGTTACTGACATCTACAATGGAAGCATTGTCCAATGAGTTTGATATCAAGCATTTAACTGGAACTCAATGGCGTCTATTGGCTCCTCTTCTCGGCCGTCGAGACCTTCTGCTTCTTTCAAGACCTAGAGAGGGAAAGTCCTTAATTTCTTTGGTTGCTTTGATTGAAATAATCACTCGACGGATTCTTGAAATTCGAGCCACTTCCATCAAATTAAGCAATCGCTCGACAAGAAAGGCGTTGGAAATGTCGTCTGCTGTTCAATTGAATCCGATGAGGGACCATCTGAGTGATGAGACTCTGATTGATGAGATTTTGACTGAGGAGGGCGATTGCTGCTTCTTCCCACGCGCGATGGCTTCATCAACTTCGCCATCCCAGGATGCGCCTTCGTCTGCTTTCAGCAAGGCGACATTAGATGACCGTTTGATGGCTGTCGTTATTGGATCAACGAGGGACGCCACGTGCAAGTTGGCGCAAGATTGTTCACGCTTGTTGCGGTATCATCCCTTCAAGTTCCGCGTTGGACTCATTTGTGGTGGAGAAAATGTTGATCTCGAAGTGGAAAAAATGATGACAGCGGATCATCCAACTGTCCTATTTGCAACTCTTGGAAGAATGATGGACCACATCGCAAATACAACAAAATTTTCATTAAAATTAAGAAGAGCAGAAGTTCTCATTGTAGACGATGCTTCTAATTTAATGTCGAGTCAAATTCTTGTGGATCAACTTCGGTCTCTGAGACGCGCAATGTCCTCAAAGCATCAAACCATTTTATTATCCAGCGTTGTTGATGAGTCTTTCAGGCGGCTAGCTTTTCGATCCTTGAAAACAAACTTTAATGTCATTAATTGTGTCGAGAATTTTAGCACGAATCACCGTTTTGATTACGAAAAGTGGATTGGGCCAATTGAAGAAATAGAAACGCATAAAACGCTTCACGCGAGCAACCGAAGTGATGAACCCGTAAGAGAAGAAGAACATCTAAGAGTGGGGACGAATGTAGAACCCCAAAGGAAAGAAGAAGAAAGCAAACAACATGGAGAGGAGATCCAAGCGAACACCGCGAAGAATGAGACAAAGAGAGAAACAATTGCTGGTGGATTGGAGAAGGAGGGGAGGAGGAAAATTGAAATGATTCACCCGAATTTATGTCGGTTTGAGGGAACTCCGCCTAATGCTTCATTATTGACTGGATTTCTGACAGAAAGGCTGCGGAAGGAGATGAAGGAGAAAAGCTCAAAAGATTGGTTGATTGAGAACGCATCTATTGAAAGTCACAGCATCGATTTCATTGAGCGCGAAGTGGAAGCCAGAGAGCTGGACGTGAAAAACGCAAAATCAGAAAATACGACGAGGGGAAGACACCAGAAGAAAAAACAACAGATAAAAGAAATCCTTACAAGCGAAGAACATCAGCGCTCTGGTGTCCTCGATTCGATTGATGATGATTCTGATGATGAAACAGAAACATCGCATGAAATATGGTTAACTCGAACATCAGAAAGTGCATTAAGATCTTCGGCATGTCCCACACCTGTCAATGTCCCAATCTATTCATATACGTATGATCCATTAGAGTTTGTTCCCAATCTCTTCAATCTGATTCATTTAGAGTTGAACCATCAAGATGAAATTGCTCGTTTGCTGAATTCCAAAGATCGAAAGATTATCAACATTCAGGATTGTAGTGATTTTGAAGAACTCAAAATTATCAACAATCGAAATCATAAAGTAGTTGTTATTTTTCCAACAGTCCGAGCTGTTGAATTTTATGCAATGCTTTTCAAGAGGTTTCTCAAAGTTCATCTCCACGAAGCGATGGACTCTGGAGAAGCATCCGATACTACGACGTCTACGGTGCCAGAAATGAACAAGGAGGGGGTGCCAATGGAACAAATGGAAGGAATGGATAACAAGAGCTTACAATCGACATTTGTTGCGTTCACTTCTCATCAATCGCAAGAAGAGAGAAGAGTTGCATTGCGACAATTTACAACAAGTCACTCTGCGGTGATGTTTTGTACATCGATGATTCATTCAATGTCGTCTATTAGAGCTGACACAGTGATTCAAGTGGGAATGGGACATACCACGGCAGCGACAATAGAACACAGTGGAATCGCAACCAAGTGAGTTGGATCGCATGATCATCAATATTGATATCTTTCTGTATTTCGATATCTTTTCTGGTGATATATTTTCTGATGATGTTATCTTTTCTGATGATATATTTCTCTATTTAGGAATTCCGGGCATCTGATTCTTCTAATCAACCCAATCGAACTCAAATATCTTGAAGAATTACTTTTTCTGAGAATTCCACTCGAACGACTTCCTGAACAATTCATTGAGCGAGTCAGGGAGGCTCTCCACCCCGCAATTCGTTCTCTTGTAGCGCCATTGAAGAAAGTCGACGTTCAAATCCCATGGGAATCTAAACAATCCGATGGTCAACCATCATGTAGCACTCCTGCTCTCATTCCTCCAGCAGAACTTCCTCTTCTTATCGAAATTTTAAACCCTTCAGCGTTTCCTGTTCCGATTACTGCTCTTGGCAGCGTTGCTAAGGATTACTCAGAGACATCCCGGTTATTGTGGCATCAAGACTTCAAGGCTCTTGCTGCATGCCAATTGATGTACCGCAGTCTTCTCGGTTTTTATTCCAAAAGATCCGACGAATTGAAAATTAACAGGTGATCAATTTTGAGCAACTTATGAAAGTTCCCCCTTCACTTATTTGTTCTCTGAATTTTTGTTTGAATTTTTTGCAGAAGGGTGATTCCTGAGTTGCTCAATGACCATTTAAAGTCTGCAGGGCTTCTCGTTCCTCCTCCTGTTCCCATAGAATTCGCATCTCGAATGAAAGTTCATAGAGCTCCTGGTACGTTCGTTGCCTCTATAGGATGATGCACTACTGGATTGATGCCTTTGGTACAACACATTCGAATTTCAGGTCTACGGCTTGGGAAAACAAATGTAGAGAAGTTGGAGTTGATTGCTTGGTCTTAAAACTCTCAGAAGGACAACTGCGGACTCAACTCGTCGCTTCACTGATGCTTTCAGCTGTTAAATTGGTGGTTCTGCTACACTCTCTCAATATCTACTGGCTCACTCAATCACACTGTTCTCTCTCACTCAGTATTGTTCTCAGACAAGTTCTACAAGTATGGGACATCAGCAGTTCAGTAAGGAAGACAACGGCTCATACACAACGATACCAGAAAACGATATTAAAGAACAATAAAAGTCATGCATCATAAAAGTCTATTAAGGATGTCCCAAATCATGCGCCCGTTCCCTTGATCAAGAAATTTCTTGCACGGCGCGCGGCTTCCACCATATTGGAGAGGGAGGCTTTTGTTTCTTCCCAAGATCTTGTTTTTAATCCACAGTCAGGATTCACCCAAATATTCTCCGGCGGAAGAATCGCAGAGGCTCTTGTGAGTAGTTCTAAAATTTCATCAATAGAAGGAACGCGAGGAGAATGAATGTCGTAAACGCCTGGTCCAATTTCATTCGGATATTTGAATTGCGCGAAGGCTTGAAGCAATTCCATCTGCGATCTTGAATTTTCGATTGTAATGACATCAGCATCCATCGAAGCTATGTGTTCGATGATGTCATTGAATTCGCTGTAACACATGTGGGTGTGAATTTGTGTTGTATCAAGCACACCCGATGATGCAATTCTGAATGCCTTCACAGCCCAATCGAGATACTGTTCCCAATCTCGCTGTCGTAATGGAAGTCCTTCTCGAATTGCAGGCTCATCGATCTGAATGACTTTCAATCCAGCAGATTCTAATGCAATGACTTCATCGCGAATTGCAAGAGCAATTTGAAGTGCTGTATTGGATCGTGGCTGATCATCGCGGACGAAAGACCATTGAAGAATCGTTACTGGTCCTGTAAGCATTCCCTTCATCAACTTTGTTGTCTGCAATTGAGCATATGCGCTCCATCGTACAGTCATGTCGTTCGGCCGATGCACATCTCCATAAATCACTGGCGGCTTCACACATCGAGACCCGTATGAAGTCACCCATCCATTTTTTGTGAAAAGGAAACCGTTGAGTGCTTCACCGAAGTACTCCACCATGTCATTCCGCTCAAATTCGCCATGAACTAAAACATCAAGTCCCAATTCCTCCTGCCAACGAATCACATCAGTTGTTGCTTTTTCAATAGCTGCTTCGTATTGTTCTTGTGTTAACTCTCCCTTTCGAAGTTTCGCTCTTAGTTGACGAATATCTGTTGTTTGGGGGAACGATCCGATAGTTGTTGTAGGGAAGTGTGGAAGACTAAACCTCTCCCGCTGGAGTTTTTGGCGAACTGAGAATGGGCTCTTTCTCACAGCATCACCAGGACCAATCTCAACAACCCTCTTCTTCACAAGTGGATTGTGCACGATTTCGGAGCGATTGCGCGATTCAATGGCTTTCCGATTTTCATGAAGTGCTTCTTCGTTTCCGCTAATAATGTCATGAAGATCTGAAATTTCCAGTAGCTTCTGTTTTGCAAATGCCATCCATCCCTTCGTCTCTTTTGGAATGTCAGTTTCGAAATCGAGATCAAATGGCACGTGAAACAGAGAGCATGAAGGCGAGATCACGATTCTTTCTTTTCCCACAACAGCAACAGCTTTTTGAAGCAATTCACATGATTTTTTGTAATCATTCTTCCAAACATTTCGCCCGTCGATCACACCGAGAGACAGAATTACATTTCGTGCTGGAGAAGTTTGGGGAGCTTGTTGAATTAGGACAAGAACAGCGTCAAGTTGTTGGGGAGAACGCACCAAGTCAAGATGAAGTGCTGTAACTGGGAGGCTCAACGCAGTCGCCGAATTATCAGCAAGTCCATCAAAGTAAGTCGCAATCAAAATTTTCAGTTCTGGAACTTTCGAATGAATCTCGCTGTACACTTGATTGAATAACTGTTTGGCTTTCGCGTTGAGATCGAGTGCAAGATAAGGTTCATCAAGCTGAACCCAGACGGCTCCGCGTTTTTGCAATTCCATCAGAATCTGGATGTAAACTGGAACCAGTTTTGAAACCAAATCTAACCGATCAAACCCTTCCTCCTTCTCCTTTCCCAAGAGAAGGAATGACAAGGGGCCGATTAAAACAGGCTTGGGAGTGGCTCCTCCCAGATTGAGTTCCTTCGCTCTACTGAATGCCCGAAGAACGTGATTAGAAAAAATCTGAAATGATTGCGATGCAGTGAACTCCGGGACGATATAATGGTAGTTGGTATCAAACCACTTGGTCATCTCCATTGGCGTGATGTCTAAACCATTCTTTTGATATCCGCGTGCCATCGCGAAATAAAGATCGGTTGAGGCGGAATCGGCTGGTGCTTCGAGATCGAGGTCCTTTGAACCTCGCAGTGTTGCCATTAAAGGTTTGTACCGATGCGGAATTGCCCCAAGAAGGAGCACCATGTCGAGAACTTGATCATAGAGGCTGAAGTCATTGATTGGAATCAAATCAATGTGAGCCTTTGCTTGTGTTTGCCATCCTTCTTCTTCGACATTGATAGCAACCTTCATTAACTCATCATGAGAAATTTTACTAGACCAGTATTGTTCACAGGCCTTCTTCAATTGACGCTGAACGCCAACGCGTGGATACCCTAGATTTCCTTTCAACATTCTGAGAAATCGGAAACAGACAATATTTGGTATTGGAGAATTTTCTCACAGCAGCGAGAGAAGACAACAGAAAGTATCGTTGATCTAATTCCTAATCAACGGGGGAATACCATGTGTATGTCGGTCTGTGTCTCATTGGACCACTCTGCATGCTTGGATGTAAACTCAGATCAAGCCTGAAACCAGCGGACATCTATGGAAGGTACCGGACCAACACTTGTAGGGAACGTCGTTCCACAATTTAACAATTTTCCATTGTTTTGGGACTAGCCATTTAACGATTAACTATGCCTCCTATCTCAGTAGCTCGCCCCATTACGTCTGTATTTGAAAACTTCACTAATGGTCAATTTTGCGTTCTTGTTTGTAGCATCATCTTAGCAGGGACTGAAATCGGGGTCGTTTGCTATGACATCCGTAACGAATCAACGTTCGATTGCTTCGCATCGGCTGCGATCCTGACAACCGACTGCATCAACGTCGTTTCCGTGTTCTTCGGAATTGCGGCTGTAATTCGGAAATTCATTTTTCTCGTCGTGACATTTTCTCTTCTGTGTTTCATCGATGTCATTTTTTTCTCCATTCTTCCTTTTTTTATCGATTTAAATTGTGGAATTCTAATCCGATTTATTTGGCATATTATCGTTTTAGTTGGTTGCATTGTTTGTGGGATGAAATATTTTTTCGAACAAAGGCAATCTCAGTAAGATATATTCATAGATGTGAATGGATTGTGAATTGGATTGTGAATAATTATGAATAATTGTGAATAATTGTGACTGAATTGTGAATGAATGGATTGTAAATTGGATTGTGAATGGATTGTGAATAATTGTGATGGGAAATATCATTTCATTGTGGCATCTAAGTCATTTTCTCCAAGCTGGTCTTCTGGCTGTAGCCATGAAGTACCAGCGCATGACCACACAGTATTTGGTCATCTCAAAAATTAACATTTCTGTTCTGATTGTGGCTCTTTCTTATTTCTTCGCAGAGGCAAAGATGATGACATGAAATTGAAGGCTAGACGTCTTTCGACATCCGAATACGCTTCAAAAGAAAGATCAGAAAATGTTGTCGTTGTGGTAGGCGAGCGACCGAGACAACCAGGCAACTTAGTGCGTGCAACCAGCTGACAACCATTGTTGTAATGAAAACGTACAGCAGGATGTTCTTAAAATCAGTCGCGGAATCGGAGACTCATCAGTTGCAGTAGTTGGTATTTCAATGTTGTGCTCATCACCTTGTATGCGACAGATATGTAAGAAGACCACACATGGCTACGTGTTTCTGTCGGTCTTTTGTCTAGAGATGATTTTTTCACAAGCTTAACTGAATTCGTCACGGAGCTAAATTTTTGGAGATGTAGACCTATGAAACCGTTTTCCTCTCCTCCATTCAATTCAGCAACAGAAAAACAATTTCCCTGTAAATCGATGTTGTTCCGAAGATTCTCTGACCTCGAACGCTAAAGTGACATTGAACGATGTGGATGACAAAGCTGGATCAATTTGGACATAAATTTGATAAATTGTCAACATGGATCATAAATTTGGGATGCTCAACTTCAGCCAACCACACGAATAAACGGAAGACCCGATTGTTATTGTCGCTTTTATTTTATGAAAGCTTGTGTGAGTCTCAGATGAATGTTGACTGATAATTGTCTAATACAGCGTTTGAACTGCTTTTTTTGGTACTTTTTTTCTGTGATACGGTGCAATAAATACATCCACCTCGGGTCGTATGTAACAGCCCATACGATCGAGTGGACCTTGAAATTCTCTGTACGTTGCAAGATCGCATGTGATAGCGTCGTTGTTCAGTGCAGGACGTGGCCTCACATTATGTACTAGTGAAGCACATTTTGGAGGAATGTGAACCCGCGGAATCAGCTTTTGTTTGTCGGACAAATATGGTATTGACTGTCCATCTCGTATCCAAGAATCAACGTATCCGATTTGCCACACTATTTCCGAATTCTTCCGAACGACTTTTATCACAAACTTCTATCAATATATGGTTTTTAATAACTGTACCTGTGAACGACAAAAAACCAGATTGAATTTAAGTAGAATCTAAATGCATTGGCTCCACCTGTTTCTTCCAACCTTCTTCCTTTTTCAAATCAGTTACGCATCGTTCTTTCGATCGCGTCAAATTTGGAATCCAAGAAAAGATCGCGAAAACGACGACAAACCGGGACCAGCTCTGACCACACCACGCTATTCCGTATTCGGCCCTATTGTCGATGGCGTATTGGGACGTCTCACTCGCGACGGAAAAGAACGACGATGGAGGAGACTGAGTGATGACGAGATTGGACATCTCGATGAAGCAGAAGAATGGGACTTAGATGAGTGGAAAGATCTCTGGGAAAGTGAGGGAAGGATCCCAAAATGTACGATATTTCTCTTTCCTTAGGTCATTATGCAGGAGTAGACGTGCTGGAGCCATGAACATGTCATGGTGCCACATCGTCAGCAGTGAATCCCTTCCTTCAGATTGTTCGTTTCCATAGTGCAGAAATCTCAAAAATGCTTTACTTTCATACTGAGTACAGGTTTATCCGCAACTTCAATACTGTGGGCGGAAATACTTTGAGTAGCGAAGCGGCCAAATGAGACACTTTTGAACTTCATATTTGGACAACTATCGATAATATATAAACGTCCACGCCAGTTTCTATTAAGACATCGCTCAGGTTCTTTTGAGTAGTACCCTTCCCTTACACAAGACTCGGTCTGGCCATTCGATTTGTACGTAACAAGTTCTTACTTTCAATAGATTTCCACCAGAGCGTATCACACATAAACCCCCATATATCTATTTATTAACCTTGAACTCTTTATTATCTTTTACCAATCGAGCCGCACATTGTTAACCCCTCGCAATCCCAAATTCTCTTGACTTTCCCATTCTTCTGATATTCTGGTACCAGTCCATAGGTCCAGGCGAACAGCTTTCACCCTGAATTAACATAGAATGAACTCTTCCGCCTTTGATCAACCACCTCAAGATCTTCAAAACTCCAATGATATTCTGTCCTCTGGTTCCCATCCAGACTCTGGAACCATGAATCCCTATCCCACCCGTACTCAAGCCGGATATCCGCCACAAGGATACCCTCAGCAGGGATACCCTCAACAAGGATTCCCACAACAGGGATACCCTCAACAAGGATTCCCACAACAAGGATTCCCACAACAAGGATTCCCACAACAAGGATTCCCACAACAAGGATTCCCACAACAGGGTTTCCCGCAGAGCGGATGGGATCCTTCCCAGGCTGCGTTGATTCCTCCCGAATTAGATCCTCCTGTGGATACTACAGGGCTGGATCGCAAAACTGCGACCCAAATCCAGCAAGAAATCGCGAAATGGGTCAGAGATTCTCAGTACAGTCTTTCGACACAGGAAGGGAAAAGTCTCATTCGACCAGTTCGTAATCTTTTTCTCGGGGTCCTGGGAGGAGCTATCGCTGGCAAACACCTGCTAACGACCTTCGCTCCAGCTAAATTTGTTGGCGTCCGTGGAAAGGCTTGGCTTTGGTCAACATGTCTGTTTGGATACCCACTTGGCGGAGCTGCGTTGTGGCTGACAACAGTTCCGGCGATGAAGGAGGTGCTGGAACAGAAGACTGCATTAGGAGTTCAAGCACGATACGCCTTTAGAGTATCACAAGCTGAGAAGAACGGACTCCCGGCCCCACCACCGCCTTTTGTTCTTAACCCAAAACCAATGATTTCTCCTACTTGGGGGTCACCTTTTGTGTAAGAAGATCACTTGTTCATCATTCATAGGTGTCTCGTAGACCACCTCAAGCTGCACAACAAAATGGAACGCCCCCTCAATATGTTCAATGGAATGCGTTCCAACAACAACCACAAGGATATGCACCACCCATGGGATCTAATAACAGAGAAGAGGGCGACAAGTTAGTGCAGCAATCATCAGGTCTGCTGAAATCATCTTTCTGCAGTCGGTTTCGTAGTTGGGATGAAATCCGAAAGGCGGCCCAGCCTTCAGATTCCCCACCCAGTGAAGTCCAATGAAAAGGTAAGCAAGTTTGATTCATTATCGTCTTCATTTTGATTCTTTCGTAGAGGGGAAACACACCTAAGTTGAGTCTAGTTGCAGTTCACATTTCGTCTGCATCCTCCTCAAGTGTCTGCATTTTTTGCACGAATGCTTCCTGATCACCAAACTGCTGATCTGTTTGAGTTTTCGAGTCTAACTGTTCATTTGATGGAGTTGGAGCTTCTGAATGTTTTATGGATTTCGTTGTATCCAAACAATTTGTGCTGCTTGTATTCAATTTGGATGGAGGGGCAGCAGGACAAGTCACACTTGGACGGAGAGAGAAGCGGCTAATAAGTTGTGGAATTGACGCATATGCGCATCCTAGACTCCTGGAGGACAACAACTGATCGAAAGAGATGAACGCGAATCCTCCATCAGCCAAAGTTATGAAGCAATCGGGGGGGACGACAACTTGGTACAACCGGATTTGAATTTTTGGCCTTGTAATATGCGCTGAAAGAGTAGGAGCATCACAGAAATCAATGGGGGGGTGGTCACTTGTAAGAATGAATACATACCAGGGAGATACGGCAATGGAGGGTGTCCCAATTCAACAATCCACCAACAACCTAAATGGGACGCAACAACAGGAGCGAATTGATTTCGGATCTCTTCAGACTTCCGCACGGGTGTGGAATCAATTTGTGAAGGAGCAGATGCGACAACGTCGCCGTAAAGCTCCTGATCCTCTGTTTCGAATCCATTTGGTGCGGGAGAATTAGAGTGTTGATGCTGCGGTGGTTCCTCAGAGTTTGATTGAGACCCCAGAGTCGGTGGAGGAACAATTGGTGCTGATTTTAAAAGATCAGCCAAACCCTCAACTTCATTATTTTGTTTGAACTGAATGATTTTGTTGAGGTGCTCTGATAAAACGACCGAAGGATTTTCCCATTGTTGATAGGGATAGATTGGAATCG